GTTGGAGGCAACTTCCGCGCCTCATTTTTCATACCTCAATCTTATAAAACAGCTCCGCGTCCAGGAGGGTGAGCTGCTCCGAAATTTCATGGCTGTGAAAATCATGGAGGGTGCCAGGCCTGGAAAAGAGAAACAATGAGAAAAGAAATAGGTTTGCTCAGAAGGCTATCTGTTTACCCTTGAAAAGGAGTAAAAAAAATCCACCATGAAATTATGGGCTGAACACGACATTTAACATCCTGTCGATGGAGATTCTCAGTCCTCCATTCAGGTTCTAGTTGTGCCACAGCTGCTTTTTTCAAGAGGCAACTGGACTTTCTTTGTTTCTCTCTGAAGACCTTTCACTCCACATCCGTTCTTCAGCTCTGGTGGGGAATGGAAGGATTTATACGCCTTGCAGACAGCTAGTTATGTGCATCCTTCTTGGAGAGCCATGGAGGCCACTCGGAGTTTTCTCTGTGTCCTCAGGGTCACTGCAGATAAACCTCCAAGGGGCCTCAACGACCCTCTGAAAGGATGCAAATGACCAGCTGTCTGCAAGGAGGGTCAATCCTTCCGTTTCCTCACCATTCAACTCAGAGCTGAAGAGGTTTCTTGGATGAGAAGTGAAACGTCTTCAGGTAAAAACAAAGGAAGTCCAGTTGCCTCCCAAAAAAGCACCTTTGGGATGTTCAACATCCTAGTTATCTCATCTACTTGACTGCAGAAATAATGGCAGGTAGCGTTATGACCAGAATCTCCATTGCTAAACTCTGTTAAGTGAGTTGCGTCTGATTTTTAACCAAGCTCAGAGGACACCAAGGACCCCACAGTCCTCCTCCTCCTCCCTTACTCCCTTCCACCTACCTCACTCCCTTCTAGCACTGATGATGCTACCGAGTTTGGTAATGAAACGTCTGCAAGAAAACAACCAAGCTCAGAGAGCACCAAGGACCCCACAATCCTCCTCCCTTCTAGCACTGAAAATATGTTTCTCCAAAATGTTGAAGGACACCGTCCTGAGTAAAGGTTCTACTTCTTTTCTTTTCCTCCTGCCCCACGGAGCCCCTCACCCATCTCACCTGGCTGCCACCCATCGAGCCGCCAAAGGCTTGATGGAGTTGGTGTAACGCAGCATTTTCCTCTGGTCGACTTTATCCAGGATATTTTTGCGCAAGACTCGGGCGAGGCTGAGTTCTCCATTGCACACCAGGCGGAAGACAAGCTCCATCAACAGCTTCAGGATCTCTTCGGTCAGTTCTACCAAGCTGGAAAAGGAAACCGACCCGGTGAAGGCTACGCTTCCGATCCACCCGGGTAGGTGAGGAGGCGCCTCTGAGGACCGCCAAGGTGGAACTCGAGTCGGGCTCTGATCTTAAACTAGACCTTCAACGTACTACTCCTCATGACGAGAGGAAGTAATTCAACAGCCCAGCAGCTGCATCTACCGAAGGCTCCTATCCACTAAGGGACATCTAAGAAGTCCGAGATCCTACATTTTGTACCAAGAGGGAAGCTCATTTGGGGTCCTGAGAAGCTTTCTCTGATCTTAAACTAGATCTTCAACGTGTTAGTCCTCATGATTATAGGAGGAAATTCTTTTTTTAAAAAAATATATGTTATTATTTACATATAGGTATATTGAACACAGTGTGACCCTCCTGGTGTTTCCTCCACCATACACACCAAAGTGAAAGACAAATAACATATATACTACTTATACATTGCCAGTCTTGTACAATTATTTTGGACCAACATATTCATTCTAACCCATCTATAATATCTCATTATGGGCCTCCTTAGCCTGGTTATTTTGTGTTCCGACTCCCACCTCTTAATTCCATCCATTGGTAATATCTACTCCATGTGTCACAATATTCTGTCTCCCCTTTGTTCTTTTTTAAAAATTCTAATGTTAATCTGTCCAATTCTGTGCAAACTAATATCTTCTTTATTATAGGAGGAAATTCAACAGCTTCATCTATTGAAGGTTTGCATCCACTAAGGGACATCTAAGAAGTCACAAACCACATACTGTGTTTATTTTATAGGCAGCAAAGTTTAAGGTGACAACACATGTAGCATATTGGCTATTTGATGACCTAGAACCCAACGCCTGGTTTGAGCTGGTTCTTCTCCCGCAGATCAAACCCCAGCCCGCCCAAACACATCCCACAGCGTTTCTTCTCACCATAGTTCATCCACCACTCTCACCAGGACGAAAAACGTATTCTTGCTGACTCGTTTCTTGTTGTTGTCTGGACAGTGGCAGAACTTCTCATAGGTCGGAAGGGGAGTTAAAGAAGTTAACAAGAGGCAGAGTGACAACCAGCCAACATGGTTGGTCTTAGATTTAGAAGGATCAAACCAGTTGATTTCTGGACATCCAGTATATCTCCAAGGTTGTATGGGCAAGTGAGACAAGGGTTTAGAAAGGGGTGTCCAACCTTAAAGACTGATGGACTTCAACTCCCATAACTCTGCAGCCAGCATGCTGGCTGGGGAATAGTGGAAGTCCACCAACCTTACAATTGCCAAGGTTGGACACTGTTGTGCTCTGCTGACAGCCTGCAGAGATGGCAGCAAAATCGGACAGTGGGGAAGAACATGGGCCAGTCCAGGAGTCTGGGGAGGACTCGGATGAGGGTCCTGCGACTGATACAGAGATGGGGCCAGGACCATCTGGGAGTAATTTACTAGAGCCTCCAGAATCTGGCAGCAGCGAGGCAGAGGAACAGCGGGAGCCTGTTCCCAGTGCTCGTGTGTGCAGAGCTGCTAGAAGGCAAGAGCAGCTGAAACAAAAGGGGAAACTCGGGAGTAAGGCTTGGAAGTGATTGCCCCTCCCATAAGATATAAAGGAAGTGCAAAGGGAGAGGAACCTTTGCAGGAAGCAACTTTCGTTCACTTAAACCTTGAAGCTCTGTGTGGACTTTGTACTTCAGTTGGCTTTTTACAGTTCATTTGGCATTTTACCTGTTGGCATCAATTCAAAGGAGAGAAAGGTGGGTGCTTATCTCGAGGGACTGTTTGGGACTCATTACCAGCTGGGAATGAACATAATTCCCAGTGTTGAAATGTAAAACAAGACAACATCCAGCATCGTGTACTTCTGAAGGGGGAGGGAGTTACCAAACCCCAATTTTATCCCTGTCCCCCCAAAAGGATATCGGTATTGTAGTTTTTTTATAAGCTCTTCTGGGGAAATAAACGTTCGGTATGTTGTCAAGAAGGCTTCACAGTAAAGCACCAGATCTGGCCGAGAGAGGAAGAAAAAAAAAGAGAGAGAGAGAGAGAGAAATAGAAATTAATTCATCTTCTGATCAAGCAAGTGTCCTCACCTTGGAGACCCGGGGGCATCGCCAATTCTATCTCTCTCACCAGGGGGAACCCGGGAGGAATGCAAATAAAAGGTTGGAAACATAAAAACTGGTTATATAGAGCCAGATTGGGCTTGGGGTTAAGGTAACAGGCTAGAAACTAGTACAACCTTAGGCAGAAAAGGCAGCCGGATGACTTTGGGCCAATCACCAGGAGATGGTGAGTTCTAGTCTGGCCTTAGGGACGAAAGCTGGCTGGGTGACTTTGGGCCAGTCACCAGGAGACGGTGAGTTCTAGTCCCACCTTAAGCATGAAAGTCAGCTGGGTGACTTTGGGCTCTGGGTGACTTTGGGCCGATCACTAGGAGACGGGTGAGTTCTAGTCTGGCTTCAGGGATGAAAGCCATCTGAGGTGACTTTGGGCAACTTTTCAAGGATCTCCTTCCAAAATCCTTCCTTCAGCCTTTCTGGGTCTCGATGACAACATCTGCCTCTAGTTGTGAATGTGAGCCTTGCATGAGGGTTCACACACATTCCCTCCACAGTACCTTTTACCGTCCCCTCCACAGTGGCCGTCTCTGTCGCGTGCACCAGAAGGATGTCTCCTGACCCACCCCGTACGTCTGGACCATCATCCCCCTGCAGCAGTGGAAGAGAAACCCCAAATGATGCACATGAGAAGCGAAACATCTTCATAGAAAAAACAGGAAGTCCAGTTGCCTCTTGAAAAAAAAAAAAGGCACCTTTGACTTATTCAATTGTACACTTTCGCTTCCAGACGCCTGGTCACCTTGATTGCTCTTCTCTGCACTCTTTCCAGAGTCTCAGTGTCTTTAATTTTTTTTTTTTTATCGTGGTGACCAAAACTGGAGGAAATATTCCAAGTGTGGCCTCCCCAGTGCGGTATAAAGCCTTAAGATAGACAGACAGATAGATAGATAAATAAATAGGAGAAGTCAGAACTTACTTCCTGTTTCAAGGTCAGCCTGGAGATGATTTCGCTGTGGTTCACTAGCGACAATTCGTCCACTTCCTCCTCCATCACAGGGTTTTCCAAAGATTCCTGGGACTTGGTTGGTCTGGGTGCACAAGACAAAAAGGGCATGCCCTGCGTTGAGAGGAGGCCTATCGTGGCAAGATTTCTAGTCCTCAGTGTTTTGGAAGGGTTGGACGTAGATCAAAGGTTAGCCATGGATTTCGTCTGAAAATCTGGCTTTAAGTGTTCAGTGGAGTCCCTCAGAGAAAGCTTAAAACCTGGTGGATATTAGATTTTGTGCACGTATATGAAATAAGTATATACCATTTTTAATTTTAAAATGTACCCATAAAAACGAACAGAAACTAAGGAAGGGAGGGAGGGAGGGGAGGAAGGGTGAGGAAGGAAGGAAGAAAAGAAAGGGGAGGAAGGAAGGAAGATTGGAATGGAGGGAAGGGGAGAGAAGAAAAGAGGGGAAGGTGGCAGGAAGGAAAGAAAGAAGGGTGCAGCAAAAAAAAGGTAAAAAAGTTAAAAAAAATCAATCGGTATTAAATGCATTTTAGCATCTCAATATTACAACCATAACATTATGTTAATTTTCATCCAAAGTTGAGCATAACATTACAAAGAACCAGCGTTGCAATTTGCATCAAATATTGCTGATATAACAGTTTCAGCCTTCAATCAATCATTTAAAAGTAAGATCTCCACCGTAGTGTTCCTTCGTGTCTGTGTCTACACAGGTGGTCCTTGACCTACAACGGTTCATTTAGTGATCGTTCAAACTTACAACGGCACTGAACAAAAAGTGATTTATGATCGTTTTTCACACTTAGGACCAATGCAGCATCCCCACGGTTATGTGATCAACACTCGTGTGCTTGGTAACTCACGTGACTCATACTTATGACGGTCGCATGGACCCCCCGGGGAAACCTCACCTTTCATTCTCGTGCTTTTCCTTCCCTGGGGTCTCACTCAGAGACGCAGAATCTTTTGTGTGGTCGTCCTTCATCATTGGGGTTTCCTGGAAGGAAGTGGGGAGACAGGAGGAGGTAAGACTTGCGTTATTAACCACATGCAGATATCCCTCGACTTATACCGTGTCTCCCCAAAAATAAGACAGGGTCTTGTATTAATTTTTTTGCTCCAAAAGACACATTAGGTCTTATTTTCCAGTTGGGTCTATTTTCAGGGGAACAAGGTACAACTGTTCATTTAGTGGGCATTCGAAGTTACGACGGCACCCAAAAAAAGTGACCTGGACCGCCCCCCGCCCCCCCATTCACGATGTTCGCAGCGTTTCCCCACGGTCACGTGATCAAAATCCGGAGGCTTGGCAACTGGCATGTACTTATGATGGCTGCGTCGTTCCTGGGGGGGGGGGTCATGCAATTCCCTTTGGCGACCGTCCGTCGTGCAAAAGTGAAAGGGGAAACTCAACAACAGTGTTCCCAATTGAACAGCTGCAGTGATTCACTTAACAACCAGGGCTAGAAAGGGTGTAAAACCGGTGGGAGGAGGGGGGAAGCTCACTTAACAAATGTCTCATTTAGCAACGTGAATGTGGGGCTCCATTGTTGTCATAAGTCGAGGACTATCTATCGTCTCAGGGTCTCCAAACAGTGGGAGACATTGGGTTCACACCTCTTAAAATTACACAACATTATATATTGTCACCATTCCTCAAAATTGAACCGAAGGCAAACCAGGTTTTTCAAGAAAGACACAGCAGCACTCTGCGGTTTCGGGACTACACTGTCGTTGGTTTTCTCAAGGTGACCAAAATGCATCCAGAAATGGAAGATATAGTAGATCCGTGGTTTTTTTTTTTTTAAACCCGCCCTCTTGAAGAGGTGTGGACTTCAACTCCCAGAATTCCTCAGACAGCAGGAATTCTGGGAATTGAAACCCATAGCTCTTCCAGTTTCCAAGCTTTGAAATCACCAAGGAATCCAATTTTCCGTAGGCGAGAAACCCACTTCTCCAGTTCCGCCTCTCTTCCCTGCCGAGCCATCAAATCCAACCGATTCTTCCACAAAGACATTTAAAATAGCAGAATGTACATTTTCTAGGCTGGAAACATCCAGTGTGATAGTCAGAGGGGAAATTAAAATCCACAGGGGATTAGATAGGAAAGTCCTTAGCAGAGGTTGTTAAAAGAAAACCAAAAAATAAATAAAAAATGCTTTTCTGATTCTGGATAGGAATTTTAAATTCAGTTTGGTACGAGGCACCCCCAAAATGGCAGCGTGGTATAATAAAAGAGGGGAGCCTAATGGAATCCAGGTATGATTACAAGAGAATATTGCCAGTATATTCATGATCTGAAACAGAGCTTGGTAACAAGGTCAACCAATGAGGACTGTTTGGAAACTGAAACTAAAAGTAGTCTAGCCGTGGTTCTATGTTAAGCTCTGCAGCTCTGAAGCTGTGAGTCTGTCTATTGAAGATGAAACTAACTTGCTTGCTTGCTGAAGACTGGAGCTCTGCTCTGAACTTGCAACATGTTTCTGTTTGAGTTTGCTCCACGTTGGAGAAACCTACAACTGGTTTGTAAAATCTACTGATGTTTATAAAGATGTTAAATGAAGCATCAGCCCTCTGTGTTTATTTTTCTGGCGCTGAATTATCGCTGCAAAACTCTCAATAAATATTTATAGCTCGGGTTGAGCTGTGGGGGTCTTTGGTGCTTGATTTTTTTTTTGTGCAGACTTTTCGTGACCCAACTAGGCAATGTTATCAGTGCTAGAAGGAAATGGGGTTTGCGAGGAGGAGGAGGGGAAGGGGGAGGAAGAAAGGGAGGAGGAGGACCGCTGGGTTCTTGGTTCTCTCAGCTGGGCTGTTTCCATGCAGACATTTCACGACCCAACTAGGGAGCATCATCAGTGCCAATGAGTGCGCCTTGCTCCCTGTTTATATATAGACCAGAGTTCGGGTCCCGAATGCTGGGAGCGGGTGAGAAAGGAGGAACGAGACCTCCCTGCTACTCCTCTCCAGTAGGCATGCAAAGCCATTGGCAGGGCTCATCCTGGTTTTACTTACTCCTTCTGAGTAGGAAGGGGGAAGCTCCCCATTGCTTTGACCCGAGGAATACAGATTGACGTATTCACCCTCCCTGGCTACCTCGCCAACGTGGTCACTCTACAGAGACAGAAGGGAAGGGAAGCAAAGGGGTGATCCCACCTGGGGGGGATGAACCCAGCACTCCCCAGAAAAGCACGGCGGGACAGGTAGGCTTACCGGAACATTCTCTAGCTATTCAGAGGGGGAAGGAGGGGGGGGACCTATGCGACATTCGTGACAGGCCCTCACCCACCTGATGAAAATCGTCCTCCCAATTATTATTTTTTTTATTATTATTTTTAAAAAGGATAACCGTTGTTCTCCAAACCATTCTAGCAAAACTCTGGAGGGGGTGCTTAGAACAATTCCCTAAAAGCTGCAGGGCCCCCTCTTAATATTAATAGAGCCAGTTTGATCCAATGGCTAAGGCACCAAACTAGAAAGTAGGAGATGTGAATTCTAGTTCCACTTTAGCCATGAAAGGCAGCTGAGTGATGCTGAGCCAATCAACCCCCAGGAGATGGTGAGTTCTAGTCCTGCCTTAGCCATGAAAGGCAGCTGGGTGACTTTGGGCCAGCCACTTCCTCTCAGCCCTAGGAAGGAGGCAATGGGTAAGCCAACTACGACTGGGTCCCCCACCCCCACAAAAGGTGAGCTCGGGCCCCATCCGGTTTTCTCACCGAAGACTTCTGGAGATGTTCGGTGAAAGAGGATTCAGAGGAGAGTGAGACAGAAGCAGCCTTGTCTTGAGAAGAGGAGGAGGAGGAGGAGGAGGAAGAGGAGGAGGAGGAAGAAGATGGCCGCTCCATGGTGCCAAGGGGCTGGCCAGATGTGGCTGGTGCCGCCGGCGGGTCCGAATTCGGAGCCTGGTGTGCAGGTGGAAAAGCCTGAGGAGAGGATGCAGCGGCCAAAGTAGAGGAAAGAAAGGGAGGGATGGCGGGAACTGGGCCCCGAGGCACGAAGTCTTGGGAGAAAGACCTGAAGACGGATTTGTACTGGGGGGAAACGGGACGAGGATGAGGCGGAAAGGGCGAGGGGGAGAAAATGGCAGCAAGGTAGCATTGAAGGGGAGGAGAGGAGGGGAGGAGAGAAAAAGAAAGAGAGAGAGAGAGAAGGAATTAGAACAACGTACACAGTCGCCCGATGGCTCAGTTGGCTTTCCCGTTGGGGGAACTCCCTTGGCTAAGAATCCAGAGCAGGCCAAAGCCAGGAAAGAGAAGGGAGTTGGATTCTCCCTCCTGGGGGGAAAAAAGGACGACATTCCGAAACGAAATCTAGGAGGGAGGATGAAAACATAAAGGGGCCTTTGGCAGGGGGTTCTCCACTTGCAAGGGGCAGGAAGCCCCGGCCAGGCACGATGCAAACGGCTCGCGAATGCACTCGACGCCGGGTGAGAAGTCCACCCCTTGCTTCCTCCCTCCACGCTGGAAGGAGGATCTCCCTGTTTCAAGGATTCGGCACCGTGTGATCAAAAGCATCCCTGGCACAGCTACTGCCGCCATGCACAACCCCCCTGACCTAACCAAATCCACGACGATTGGAAGAATCTCGTAGAAATCTTCCTTACCGCCTCCTTTTAGTTTGACGGAGAACATCTAGCACTGATGTGGTTACCTAGTTGGGTCATGAAATGTCTGCATGGAAACAGAGCAGCTCAGAGAGCACCAAGGACCCCACAGTCTTTTTCTTCCTCCTCCTCCTCCTCCCCCCCCCCTCCTTGTCTTCCCCCCCTCCTCCTCCATCCCATTCTGTTCTGGCGCTGATGAGGTTACCTAGTTGGGTCATGAAATGTCTGCAAGAAAATAAGCAAACTCAGAGAGCACCAAAGACCATCCTCCTCCTCCTCCCTTCCACCCACTACCTTCTAGCACTGATGAGGTTACCTAGTAGGGTCATGAGATGTCTGCCTGGAAACGACCCAGTTCAGAGAGCATCCAAGAACCCCACAGATTGGGACCTTCTCCGCAGGTGGGCTCCAGCAGAGTCCAAAAGTTTGGGAGAATGAACCCAACGGTCCCGGTGACCAACTCAAGGTCGGGATCCCGCAAGGTTATCCTGGGACACGTTGCGTTGGCCTCCGTTCATAATAAAGATAAATCAACAAGCGGAAAGAGCGAGAGGAAGCAAGCTGCGAAAGGCAAGGCGTTCCGTTAGTAACTCACCGAGTGCGCGGGAAAGGAACTGTTCTGCTGGAGGAAGGAGTTAGAGACGGAAACGGTGAGGGCCTGGCCTGTGCCCACCTCCTCCTCGGGGGCCAGGGGGCCCTTAGATGGCTGGACACAGTAGGAGACAGAAGAGAAGGGAGCAGGGAAAATAGCCTGTTGGAAGGAGAGAAAGAAAAGGAGCGAGGGAGAAAGACGAAAGGAAGAAGAGAAAAAAAAAGAACAACCTACATCGACGGGAGATGAACCCAGGGCCTGCCTTGGGTGGGGTTGGACTAGAAAGCCTCTTAAGGTCCCGTCCAAGTGCTTCGGTGCTGGATTCTCCTCCTATCCAAATACAGGCAGTCTTCAACCTACATCAGTTTGTTTAGTGACCGTGAATAACAGAGTCGGAGGGGAGGTCTTCTAGTAGTCCAATCCCCTGCTCAAGTAGTCCTCGAACTTACAACCGTTCAAAGTTACGACGGCGGCACTGGGGGAAAAAAGCCTGATCCCCTTTGGCTGGGACTCACTTATCAACGGCGGCAAGAAAGGTTGTAAAAGGGAGAGAGCGGAACTCACTTTGGAACCGTCCCACTGAAGCAACCGAAACGTTGGGCCAATTGTGGTCACTAAGCCAAAGGCATGAAGAGAGTTGGGACGCCAGCCCTCTCATGCAGGCCAAGGGGCGAATTGTTTCATATTTGCTTTCAGGAAACGTGGCGAGAAACGAAAGGGGGAGGGCTAAGCATCTGATGATTTTTCTCCCCCAAAAACAGGGGAAAAGGAAAATAAAATAAAATAAAAAGAGATTGAATTCAGGAAAAAACAAAAACAAAACCCAAATGGAATAAAACAGAAAAAGGAGCAGGCAGACCTTAGAAGGCGAGAGAAGAAACAGAGGAACAAAAACGCTTCAATGCCAAGACCACACGGCTGGGGAAACTGAGGCAGGGAATAACGCCTCCTGGTTAATGGCATCCCGGTGCATATATACAGTTGATAAACATTTGGATGTGTAACAGTTATTGCACAAACACATATGTATCTATTATACAGGATATATAGACATATTTGTGTGTGTGTATATATAATAGGTACATCATAACAGTTATTGCACAAACACACGTATATATCTATTATAAAAGACCTTCAAGGTCCCTTGTTATATTCTATGTCAGTTCTGGAGGTGGAACTTGGAAGAAGCCATCCGACCAGGAACATTCACTACAACCAAGTGTAATAAAATAGCGCTCACTCTTTCTTGGAACAAAAGCCCAAAGCCAAAATAATCACACTGGATTTGGACCACGGACCAAAACAAAGGCTCCGTATCTCTTAGCATGGGCAAGAAGGAACTGAACCAAGATGGAGAAGGAGAAGAAGAAGAAGGAGGAGGAAGAGGAAGAAGAAGAGGAGGAAGAGGAGGAGGAGGAAAAAGAAGAAGAAGAAGAAGAAGAAGAAGAAGAAGAAGAAGAAGAAGAAGAAGAAGAAGAAGAAGAAGAAGAAGAAGAAGAAGAAGAAGAAGACTCACCAGCTGCCTCTGTTTGGGTGGGAGAGCTGGAGGTGGGGCCAGATCCTGGCCTGTGCTGCTGAAGGAATCGCTGAATCCATAAACCTCCATCAGGTGCCTATTCTTCTGCTGGTAGATGTGCTCGTTCTGGGGGGTTTGGTAGAACATGGAAGGCTGAGGTTCAGAGTAGTCCTCCACAAACTGCATATAGGCCAACACTGCAAGAGAGAATGGACACGAGGGTGTGTGTGTGGGGGGGGTCACCTTCTCGGTGAGGTGCTTGGAGAAACCTCCTCTTCCCCATCCCCTGGTTGGTTGGAGGGATCCACAGAAGAAAGACGTGAAATTAAGAAGATGACTTTTAAGGCTTAACCTATGATGACCGGGAATACAAAAGCAACGAAGTCACAAAAACAGGTGAAGTCCCTTTAATGCCTCCAACTTGGCTTCAAAGCTCCACTTATCCTTGACTGGAGAAGAAACTCCCCCACAAACAGTTGTGAAAAGGAAGAAGTGCCGTTCAAACTCAAAACACATATAAATAGAAAAAAACTACACAAACCATGCTGAAGCAATTTAGGAGACACGGCAGGATAAGGGCTTGAAGACGTCCACTGATATCGAAATACACACACTGGGAAGGACGCCAGAACTCAGATAAGCAATGAAAGGCTAGAATTATTTCACGCTTTGCTTCCAGCACTGGGCCATGCGCAGTTTGTCCTTTTAAACAGTCCTCACAGCTACAGCCCATGAAGGGGATCAGGGCCCCTTCCTCCCCCATAGACTACACCATTCACATTTCTCCCTTATCCTCTCCTCTCTGCGTGCCCTAGGATGAAGTTGGGATGGGCCTGGGTCTTCCTCTGACTGCCTAGGCAGCCTGTGCCCTTCCCCAGCTTCCTCCACAGCCACCAGAGCCACACCTCCACTCCCTATCGGCTGTTCCTCCTCTCCCTCGGAGTCAGACTCCAAAAGAGGCATGACATAACCACAGTTCCAAGTGTGACCATCTTAGTGGACCAGTCTTTTCTTCACCATGCACACTGTTTTAGGTACCTTCTGTGGCCATGGACCCCCCCAAGACTTGAACTCAAGATTTTAAATCATAACATTTGTTCAAGTCTTCCTGGATCCACTGTGATGAGCCTCCAGGTTGAGGACCCATTGTCCTGGACCAAATCCAAAACCACAAAGGAATTCCTGCGGGCTTGATACCCTCAGGCAAACCAGCCATCAACAGGCACGGTGAGATAAGCAACTTGTAGACACCATTCAAAAAAAAAAAAAAAGACAATCAAAAAGCCCAAAAGGAAACAGAAAGATCGACATATCTCACCAGCAATCAACATCCAGGTGACCAACAATCACAAAATCAGCAATACCCCAAGCAAGAAACTTGACCACTCGGATAAAGAAGCAAGATCAATGAGAAATCCAGATCCATTTAACAACCGGGTTACTAACTTCACAAATGCAAGGATTCAATTAACAACTTTGACAAGAGAAGGTGTAAACGTTAACTTAACACGTTTTTCACTTAGCAACCTACATTTTGGGCCCAATTGGGGTCGTAACTCGAGGACTCCCAGCAATAATAAAGGCAAATCAGACTCAGCCAGTCCAACATAAATATCCCTCAATTGCTCAACTCTTAACCCAGAGGGCAAAATTCTTATCCGGACTTC